TCCTAGTTGTGCTTAAGTGCACAGACGCACTTAATCCGTTTGAAGAAGCTTGGGGGAAAGAGCGTTTGCATTGCTTTGCTCAGCCTGTATTCACCAGCATGATTCGGTTCATTTCGGAACCCGCTTCAAGCATGAAAGTAGTTTTGTGCAAGTGTTGTCCAGCCCTGNNGCCCTGCCGTTCTTCAACTTTGAGTCTTACTTGTTAGCATGTTTTTTTGCTGGCGGATTCGTGAACGGAGTTGGAGAATCCGTGCTGTGCATGTGCCGCCGAGCTCTACGCAGCTGGCTGTGCAGGCTCTGGGTTTCACTCGCAAATCGTCGGTGCTTCGAACGGGCAGCAGATAGTGAACGATCTCTATGTTCAGGTCACACCAGTACTAGGTTAGCCTGCGTGTCCAGCTGGCTGCTTAAACAGTCTAGACCCTTTGCTGTCCTGAGCCTTTTGCGCACGCAGGGGTGCAGAAGTCGCCGCTAAAAGAGTAGCTGAGTAGCAGGTGCAGCGTCAGCGATCAAGGGCGCACTGCTTGTCACTGCAGTCTGACACGACTCATCACTATGGCCCCTGTCGCTGATCAGTGCGTAATACTACGACTTCTTTTTACAAGAGTCATAGTTTAAGAAAATATCGGTAATTCAATTATATTTCTTATAATTTCATATCATATTTTTTATAAGAATTATTGAAATTTTCATATCGATAAATTTTGTATATGAGGAAGTAGATATCATTCTCTCATAAAGATTGTAAGTGAATAATTTACAATATAAATAAGTTATCCTTTGCTATATTTGTATTGAATCCGGTATATCAATAAAAATTAATTTAAACGACCGGTAGTAGGTCCGGTGAAATGAACCGTTTACTATAGCTCGAGGCTTGGAAAGGTCCGTCATACTATTGTATTAAATAAGAATATATAAATTAGTCTTGTGATAATAAACAAGGTCTTATAATATATTAATTTATATATATCTATCTATATATATATATATAAAAGGTGCCTGTGCACGTAAATGATCGCGAGCAAAATGGAAAGGATTCGTTTCATAGGGGTTCTGGCCGGAAGCAAGAATATTTATGGTGTCGAAATGAACTAGTAGTTAGTCATATTAATTAAATTTGAAAATATAAATAGATCACGATAAATTGATTAAAATTAATGAAATTCGCTAAGAATATTGGAAACCCCACAACACGCAAATTAAATCCAAACATTAAAATTGAAAATGCAGATTTTAAATAGAATTTTAAGTAGAAGATAGAACTCATAGAACGATTGTCGTATGATTTTCTGCTTATAGCCTGCTGCGAAGTTTATGTCGGCACCCTGTAGATCAGATCACAAGACTTGCTCTTCATGCTTTTCTTCTGGGCCTTGGTCGTCGTCCAGATCCATTATTTGTCGATGTTTGGCGGACCGCAGCTCATTAAATTCTTCTTTGCCTGATACAACATGGAATGGATTGAGCAACCCAAGAGCCTCACGTCGGGAGAGGGGCTGCTTTGGTGAAAGTCTTCTATGAGCAGCAACACTTGACGGGCCATTTTCCTTGTGCCTAGGGTTTCGACCTGCTTCATTAGCGCAAGCCCGTCCATGGTTGCGAAAAGACGAATTGCTGGTCTTTGCTGGTGTCCGACGCAAGGCGTGAACTGCTTTTATTATAGGAGACCGACCTTTTGATCGTCTTGAGCATTCAGCGAGGGCGAACATCTTGAGCAACCCTGTACGGTTTGGCTCAAAGCGCTTGCGCGTGCAGAGAAATATAAATATATAAATGATATAAATGTATATGTAATATAATAAAATTATCCAGGTAAATTAGTTTGCGTGATTTTGCTTGGTTTGCGCAATTTTTGCATGATTTATGGATTTTGTTCTTGATTTTAGTAAGGGTATTTTGCCTGATTTTATATTATTTCAGGAAACCGCGCCGCGGTTCCCAGGCGGGCAAGAAACAAGCTGTGCAGCAGGCAACAAAGAAGTAACAGCTGTGCAGTAGTAGGCTACAAATAATAGCGCAGTAGCAAGAAGTAAACAACAATGCGCGGACATTGATTGGATAGGGTTCGTGCCGAGACCCCCTGCTACTTTTTCTTTTTATATTCGATTTGCTGGTATCTATATGAGGAAAATATTATTTTCTCGTAAATAGAATTGATTAATTCATTGATATATTTTTTAGAATTGATGAAATTATATGTTCTGGCTCGTGATAATAATCTTGAATTTGATATTTCTTATATTTATCTAGATATTATACTTATCTGAAATTTCTATAAATTGTCGTAAATTATATATTAGAAATTCGAAAGAATTAGAATATTAATATTTATATATTCTTAATATAAAAATATAGGAGATATAAAATTTTATTATTTTTCTAAGCTAACTTTATCTGTTTCGCTTTAATAATGAATAGAAAGACATAAATTCATTTAGAATATTTTTCTATTTTTTAATATAATTCTCATTTATACGATATCAATAACATTAATTTTTATTTTTTGCCTTTATTTTTC